ACTTAAGATATTTTGTGACTATAAATCGGCAATGCTGTATTCCAATAACAACAGGAGCTCGATGAAGTCAAAACATATAGAGATCAAGTTCCTAGCTATTAAAGAAAAAGTTCAAAGTGGACAAGTGTCAATAGAGCATATTGGGACAAACTTCATGGTTGCGGATCCGCTTACTAAGGGATTGATACCCAAGGTCTTTCATGAGCACACTACTCATATGGGTATAGTGTCTCTTGAGGATATTTAGTTTCAGTGGGAGTTTATATTTTTGCTTTTCATATTGGACACATGTACTGTTATTTTGAATACGGTTTAAGATTAAAGTTATTTTCAGTTATAAAGTTATTTGGTTTATTATCTCTAAATTTGTTTAAAATGATCTCATGAAGGTATTAAGGTGGACCAATTGAAAATAGGCATGTTACATATCACATTACATGTAATTTCCATGCTGCATATTTATGCCTGATCCATATCATTCGGTTATATTGATATACGTGACCATTGATAGGTTTAGCTACAATGAAAGTAGCGAAAGTTACTTTGATCCTATGTTGATATGATTGATGGACGGGATTGTTTGGGGATACATTCGATAATGATAACAAAATTCTAAGTACTCATAAGGTTATGTTTAATTCACAATTATAAGGTGGCACATATAGCCCAAGTGGGAGATTGTAAGGCTTTTTTAATCAATAGATGAGCTTATATGTGTGAATAATTGTGTCTTAAATTATAGGCTAATCGAATTCGGTTGAACCCAATTAAAGTAATCTAATAAGATTTTGGTTTTGGGCTTTAATGTATCTAATTAAAATATGGATTTACATATGTGTAGAAATCGGACCCAAGTCCTAATTCTATGATGGGCCGAATTAGGTCAAAGAGCGTCGCTATATAAATAGGTTATGGTCCCTAGATCACATGTACGTATTATTAATTCTCTACTGCATCACATCAAAGAGAGAAAAAGGAGACTGCATGTAGATTTAGAAGACTATACCGCGAAATTCATTATTGCATTAACCATATCTGATTCAGGTACACTTCAATTCTTGTATTGCTTGATGATTTAATATGAAAGATCCGGTGATTTAAAATATTAAATTATCATACAGCATGATAAAGCAAAATCAAATTGAGTTGTTATAGTGACACTAAGTATCAAATTGGGGAGGTGAGTGGTGAATTTAAATCTATCTCTAATCATTTTAACTTCATTGATATCTAGATAGGTCTTTAACACAAATTAAAATTCATTAAAAGAAGAGAAAATTTAATAGTTAACTTTTAAATCATAGCACGTGTTCCATATATTTAAAAAATGGGGTTAATTATATGAATGGTCACTTAACTTTGCCCTATGTTACTACTTAGTCACTGAACTTATAAACGTAACTCAATAGTCACTAATTTCGTCAAGTGTTACTACTTCATAATCGAACTTTAAAATGTATCTCAATGGTCGTCGAACTTTGCACCGTGTTACCCATCCGTCACTCAAATGGAAAAATTTGTTAAGTCCAACAAATGGCGTCAACTTGAGTGACGGATGGGTAACACGGTGCAAAATTCGGCGACCATTGAGATACATTTTAAAATTCAGTTATGAAATAGTAACACTTGGCGAAATTCAGTGACCATTGAATTACGTTTTTAAATTCAGTGACTAAGTAGTAACATAGTTGAAAAATCAAATCGACCTCAATTACATTGGCACTATTCGAACATTTTTGTACTTTTATTTAATTTTTCTTTGTCAATTTCTTTTAGTGTTCCAACTGTTTCTCTTTCAATCTATTATGCGGAGTTTGAGATACGGTGAACTGATACAAGTTGATATAAAAATCAAACGTACTTTTTTACCGTGATGGATAAATATTAGCAACAATTCTATTTTTATTTAATTTATAGGTCTCTGATTTTCTGTTTCCTCTTTTTTCCCTTCATTTTCTTTGATTTTTTCTTTCATAAAGGTTGATTTGAGAAGTTTAGCCTTTGTTTGATCCCCATTTGGAGGGATAAAATGAATTTTTGAATAATATATTGATGTAAAATGTGTAGTTAAAAAATACGAAAAAATTTTGGACTTACGTGTAATATCATTTTATTGAAGGATGTGTGATTGAATGATGTCAAATCACTGTTTAAGAATGTGTATATATATATATATTGAAAGAATGAGACTCAAAGAAAGGATTTCAAATCACTGTTTAAATAAAAAAAAAAAAAAAAAAATATATATATATATATATATAAGAATGAGACTCAAACGAGGGCTTAATAACTCAATTTAAAAATATATCTTAATGGTCACCGAACTTTGCCCTATGTTACTACTTAGTCACTGAGCTTAAAAACGTAACTCAATGGTCACTGAACTTCGCCAAATGTTACTACTTCAAAATCGAACTTTAAAATATATCTCAATGGTCATCGAACTTTGCATCGTGTGACGGATGGGTAACACGGTGTAAAGTTCGGTGACCATTGAGATACATTTTAAAGTTCGGTTATGAAGTAGTAACACTTGGCGAAGTTCAGTGACCATTGAGTTACGTTTTTAAGTTCAATGACTAAGTAGTAATATAGGGCAAAGTTCAGTAACCATTCATATAATTAACCCTTAAAAAATGTGTAATAGAATCTCGACCGATTAGATGTGAGTTTGATAAGAGAAAAAGTGCTTAAAGGTCATTAAAGATTCTAGTAGCTAGCAAATTGTCAAGGGGCAGTTGCTATCTCTTGCCTTCCTAGCTTTTTCTAGTAGATGCAAGGAAGAGGTTTGCCTAGCGTGCTACGGATTTTGTCTGGATTGGATGTTGTACAATCTTTTTCCCTATTGTATTGAATCAATAAAAAATGATCAACTCTTAGGCCCTCTATTGTTTGATCCAATATTGACCGAGGATGAGCCCAACTTCCATAGGCCATAGGTTTGACATCCCGTGGTGGTCCTTGCTTATGTGAATGAATAGTCAAATCAAATTCCTTAAAATCAAGAAAACTTTTGAGTACATCACTCGTCTAGGGCCTTCCTAAATGTCATACAACTCTTTCCTCGTTTGCAATCCGATTCCGATAAAAGAAAAATCGTAATTTACCAAAAGTTAACTCTTTAATCATCTTTAAGAAGCAATTAAAAATAAAAATAAAAAAACATTTTCTTCACTCACCCCACTCCTGACTCCCCCACAAACCCTGACGTGCAATTTGAACAGAGGACTTCTGTGCTTCAGTATGACAGTAAAACCAATATCTTCATTTGAGTGAAGTTCATTAAATGATTAATCACCAACATTTACCTCCAGTCAGTACTTGCTCCTTCAAAATTCAAAGATTGCTCATTGCTCAACCCACGTTTAAACAAAATTACTTTTCCATCACCCATATCAATTTCATTCACTACCTGGGCAAAAAAATCTATGTGATGGAAGAAAATCGTACGTGACAAGTAACGGTGTTATAAATTGCTAGGTTGGAAAATCCTATGTTGAAAAAGCAACTCATTTTCCAACAAGTATAAATGATAAAAAAATAAAATAAAAGCCCCCAAAACAGCAAATATAATATGCACATTAAATTGGCACTAACAATAATGAAGATGGAAACAAAATTAGACTTCCTTCTCATATTGTAATAACAACTTTATATCATGAATTTTGTTACACGTACATCGGGATTGACACTCCGATGCACACTCCCTTCACATGGGGGATCCCAAGATTTTTTTATTGTCATGAGCCCGAGGAAAGTGTCAACTTCGGTGTACAAATAGCATTTTCCTTATATCGTTACCATTGTCGGAATGATTTTCCAACATCCTAACGCCGAAGAAAATTGTTCCGAAAAAGCCATTACCAGAAAGGCAAGTTCTTGCAAGCAATAATTGAAGCAGGACCCCTTCTTCAAACTCTTCTATTGGCTGGACCCATACCCAATGGCAACACCCACCCCACAACTTCAATTTGGGGGTTTTTTCAACTTCGGGCTTGATTTGCAACAGTCTGATTTGGAAATCCTCTGATGAGAAACTGATTTGGGAGAAGAAATGGATTATGGTTTGACCGTGAAGAATGGGGGAAGTTTAATATTGAGAAAAAAAAATCTTTACTATTTGTACATCCGGAATTGACACCCGGATGACACCTCCCTTACAAGAGGGGGGTCATACGTAATAAATAATTGTGAGCCCCTCTCTTTTGAGGGGGTGTCATCCAAAGTGTCAATTCCAGATGTACAAATAGCAAAATTGAAAAAAAAAATGATTCTAACCTACTGAAGAAAAATTAATTTCCTATCATTTTCCAAGCTGTTAAATTTCAACAAAGTTAGATGGCAAGTAAGATTTTTATCCGCTGTGTGAATTTTTTTGTCCAATTAAATGGATGGAATTGATATGAATGATAGATAAGTATCATTGTTTTAAGGAATAAAGTCCTTGTCCCGGCTTGAGGACAGGGCTGAAGCTGGCTGGCGCCCCTCCAATAGGGGGGCGCCACTGTCCCTAACCCTGACCCCGTCCCTAAGCCGGGACAAGGAGCAGGGCTCTTGTTTTAATGTTGGTCAACAATAAGTAACCTTTTAATTTTGAATGAGTGAACAATAATCGAAAATAAATTTTCGATGATTGCTTATTTAATTAACTCTGTTTCAGTGCTACATTTTCATGTTTCTCGGTACGTATTATCGACCTTCCCTGTTACAAATAGAACACCATTATACTTTCGTGTTCTCTGTCTTTGGTTTCATGAATAACTTTATTGTAGTTTGAAAAACAGTTCAGCGCAATTCAATTGTATTCGAGGAGTAATGTTAAGGTAAATAAGGCCTAAATGAAAATTAAGAAAAATACTGCACATTTCGAAAATATAATTATAACGAATAAACTAAGCCTTACTGTCAATAATAATAGATAATAATCATATCCTTCAACTAAAAAAGGAATAAAGCAGGAACGCATAAGAGATATCACATAACGGCATAAAATCTGTAACTGAAATGAAGAAGCAACGAAAGAGAAAAGTCGCAACTCGATATTTCATTTATAGAATAATGCACGTGTAGAAATAGCTGTAATTTCCTCAAACAATTTGTTTCCTCGAAATTCTCCATTAATACATTCCTTCTCCAAATGACAAGCTACTATCAGAACAAAATGAACAAGGAAAATGCTAGATGAACATAGGGGGCTACATAATGGACACTCGACGCCTCGCGATTGGTGAGACGCCTTTGGGCCTGAGGTGCGGCAGGCGTCTCGGCCAATGTCGAGGCGCCACGTGTCCATTATGTAGCCCCCGATGTAGCTCTTAATGTTCATGTAGCATGGTCCATCGCGCTAGCCTTTTTCAATTATGAGGACAATCACTGGATTCTAACGTAAGTAGACTATGGTTTTACAACCCAGAAAAACGGGGATATTTTTCTGGGGATCCCGCAAACACTAGTTACACGTCATCCTCAAACCTTGCGAAAATTTGCCAGGGACCCAATATAGGCTTCTCTTGAATTCGTAGGAAATGATGAGAAGAAGCTATAATAGTCTCTCTTTTTGATAAAAAAGAACTAGTCACATTTGATGTTCCGGTAAATCCTCCTTACAAACAGATTAGAGCCCAAGTAACCAACAGCACCTGGAAATCCAAGAGAAACAATCCCGTTAAAATAATTACATGAATGGAACGTGCTTATAAATTCTGATTAATACTTATTTTCAAGGAAACAAATTCATATTCTTAAGGGAATGGTTAATAAGTTCACTAAGACACGAGAGACAGGAAGGCGGTGTAAGAAAAGCTATATGAGTTATTACACTTCATACTCATCGCAAAGAATCCCTAAGCCAAGAGAAAACATCAGTGTATACCCAAAGTAAAAGCTAGTCTGGAAGAACCCTAACATCTTTGTCTTCGAATAGTAGTAATATATCGAGTACAAGTAGACGTAGACAGTTGTCGAGGCCGCAGACAAGAATGAAGTCCATTGCCAGTGATAATTCTCAGCATTTAGAAGGAAATATGTTGCCACAATTGTCACACAGGCGGTAACAATAATCAGAATCAGGAAAACTAGAAGCATAAAGTCATATACGTATTAGACCTGCCAACATGAAGCAACGGAAAGGAGAATTTGAACAAAAAGATAAAGTATGAACTCAACTGGTTTTCCGTTCAAGTCATATATTACTGGTGCAAGCCCATTTCTTTTGTTTCCCTTTTCTTCTCGGACAAATAGTTCATTTAAATCATTCATTAACTTGTAGTTCCAGAATAAACTGAAAACAAAATAAATCATATATTACCAGGGCGATCCTATGACTTTCAGGGCCTAAAGCGAACCTGTAAATGAGGCCCCCCAAAATCAGCGTAAAATATAAAATCCAACGGTGTATTATTATGCAACATACTGCTAACTAGGGACGGATTCAATATTGAATTCAAGACCGAGTTAAAAAATTTCAAATTGAACTAATACACAAAAAAAATAAAAATAAAAAAGTTATACATAAAAAACCATTTTTACAAAAAAGAAAAAAGGGGGTTTTCGAGCCTGAAGCCCCCTAAATTTATCCCTACTACTAACTTAACAATATAATAACAAACAAATATATTAGAATTCTACTTCTAATGAATTTCAGAAAATGTAAGATTATTTATTTCTAAGCTTTCAAATGTTTGATCACTGTGATTTGCATTACTATGAGGGTAAAAACTACTACCAACACGTAAATCCACATGTTGAAATAGAATTATGTAAATTTTAAATTGAATAGAATTATCACTTTACCAAATAATATCTCCAAGGCCCAACACTAATCAATTTCATAAAAAGCTATAAATTACCAACAAACTAGTAGAAACAAACTACTAGAGTGAAATATCAAAAATTACACTAACAAAGGAAGAAAAAATGTGCATTCTACCTCCTACCAAAGATCAAGTGTGAAATTTTAGCTATTTTATATTCAAATAAACCAAATAAATCCATAAATACTATACCCAATAAATTAAAACAATGAAATCTCAAATATACTCAAAGAAATTACACTAACAAGAGGAAGAAAACTGACCTCTGATAATATATTTCCTCATGCAAGCCGTATAACACCAAGGGAAATTTAAAAAAAAAAAAAAGCTGTATATGAGAGGAAATGATTTCTACTTGAGCCTAATTTTTTAAACTAAAAATGGCCCATATTAACTATCAACCCAAACCAAACAAAAGGGCATTTAATTTCTATCTTCTTCTTCCTCTGGTACTAGTTGTCTGGTTCTTTCCGTCTTCGGCTCTTCCGCCCCTGCTAATGCAATGCCCAGCGGCTCTAAACATTTCGACGGACCCCTGACTCGTCGTCGGTCCAATTGGAGCATAGAAGCGAGAGGCGAGCTGGAGAGGAAAATGATTTCTTCTTTCACAGTTTACTTTCTTCATTTAATTGGAAAAAGGAAAAAAGAAAAAAAAAATTTGGCCATAGAAATGAGACCCCCTTCAGCTTTGGCCCTGAGGAGCAGGCCTCATTCGCCTCGCCTCAGGACCGGCTCTGTATATTACTGGTGCAAGCCTATTTCTTTGTTTCCCTTTTCTTCTCAGACAAATAGTTCATTTAAATCCTTCATTACCTTGTAGTTCCAGAATGAACTGAAAACAAAATACATCTCAATGAATATGCAGCCAAAGGGAAGCAACCTTCCCATCATAGAGACCACTGATGGTGTCAGGTACCACTTCTTCTCAGGAATCGGCCGTGGAATGGTCTTTACACGGCAAGGATTGTTTGGAGTACCACTCCAATTTCTTCCAATAATTGTACCGAGAAGTGCCAAGGGGG